TCGCGAACTATGAATGCAGCATGCCCCTCGCCCGTGGAAACGTTCACTCGTGTCGTTCTCTGAACTCTATCCCAAACGAGAATTCCGGACTAATCCGGGTACTTTACCTAATAATATATATCGTTCGTCCATGTCAGGCAGCGTTCAGACTTCGCGATGACGCATTTTACTGTACGCTACCACATCTATTCGTATTATTTTCAGTGTTGTGCCATAGTCAGCCTAGAGCAATGTCCAGTAATCCGGTAGCGACACCAAAAAGTGGGCGTGGCCCCTCGTGCTGATTGACCGCAAAACCAATCAGCGCTCGAAGCATATCCTCCTCTTTTGCAACAACCTCCTCCACTATCGGACTACTGCTGGTGCTTTGTGGTGTGCTCGTGCTCGTAAACATTTTCGTCCTCTAATTTCCTAGCCGTTGTTTTATGCTCTTTCGTCAACTTCTACCTGTATATGACCGCCGGATTCGTGATACTTTCTAGTCTTGGAGCAATGCCAATTATGAATGGATTAGGTGAACTTCGCTGAAAGCTGCCACCATTCACTCGCCACGCAATCTTTGGTCTATACCATATCACTCGCAAACAAAACCGTTTCCTTTCTATTGCTTCTTAAAGGTAGTGAGCACGATGGCTGGGGTGGGCGGTTGCTGCCAACTCGATGGTGAAAAGGCTGCGAAGGCGTTTAGCCATATCCCACCCAGCCCTTCCACCACTGACAACAGTCCGCCTCAGCCATCGTGCAGACTGCCTTTAAGTTCTCAACAAGGAATTGTCTAGTTTGACCGTTTTATATTGTATACGTATCAAATCTACACATCGTATCACACACTTTTATTAATATGCTCTATATAATAAACATATACCTATTCAATAGTTATTAAACCAACAACAACAATAACGACAAACAAGGTTCTTGCAAAACAAAACGACAAAAATTCAAGGAATATTGAAAGTACATCGAGGAAGGCTTTGAAAATGTAAAAACCCAAGTTATTCAGGTGTTTCATGCAAAGATGCCCTTAAGGAATGCACGTGCATGAGCCAATTGACGTCAAACGAAAAATCAGCTGTTTTCTTAAGCAAAACAACTGAAAATCAACTTCAGCGAGTTGCACCTAGCACGTATAAAGGAAACAACAACTGTCACCGTACAACAATAACACATTGACGACAACGCGAGTTTTTACTTTTCGGCCTCGTGGGACACGCGCGCTTTCTTGAACGCCACAAGCGCGGTACGCATACAATTCAAGCCGTCCCACGAAGCGCTTTTTTGGAGATTGGATCGAAAAACCTGGTTTAGAGAGCAATTGTGAAGTAAGTCAATTATTTACTATGGAAAAATCTGGGCTGGCCAACTCTCTGCACCAGGGCCAGGAATTTGTCTGTAACCAATTTTTTCATAAAAAACGCAAATCGTGCTTTCTATAGGATTCAGAATCCTTCACCTTATATTTTTTCATCATTTTCAATGTTGTAATTGTCTGTATTTGTTGGCAAAGAGTTAATTCAAGCTTATAGTGCTCATTCCATGGACCACGTGTTGTACGAGTATACTAAGAACTGGCCTATAGAATGAATAGGAGAAACTAAACAAAAAATCATGCACTAGTGAAAGATATGGATTTGTTGATCGTGATTCGTATACAATTCGCGCGGTCCCACGTGGCCACAAAGCGCGCATTAAATGCGTATCACGCTGTCGTGAAAGTGTTAAAAATAGGCGAAAATTCTCCAAAATTGAATTTCAAATGAATTCAACAGCTTTCCATCATGGACTCCTTTTGAGGAACCAAATTTCAAAATCTTCTCCAGAGTAGTCGGACGAAAATTTAAATATTTTAGTTGAGAATGAAAAAATGCTAAGCAAGTTGACGTAAGGGGGTGGGACTATCCGTCCCAGGAAATCTGCTAACGGGGATACCTCCTTCCTCCTACCTTATTTCTTCCTTCGCTCCTTAGTTCCTTCTCTTTTCTCTCCTTTAGTTCCTTCTCATTTCCACTCCTTATTTTGTTCTCTTCAAAGGCCCGACCCATTCGTTTCATACTTTTCAACCGCGGAACCTCCCTTCTCCTTCCTTTTTTCCCCTTCGTTCCCTAGATCCTTCTCTTGTTCCTCCTCCTTAGTTCCTTCTATATTCCCCTCCTCCTTATTTTCTTCTCTTCAAAAGCTTGGCCGGAAAATGCGATGAGAAAACACCTCTGGAGCCTCGCAGCGAGAGAACATGTGGTTGACAGAAGCCCTGTAACCGGCCCACGTCAAGCCGAACAGGGTACTGCATCGCAGGGAGAGTCCCATCAGAAGGGAAAGAAGGTCGAACCTAGACGCTGAGAAGGAGTTCGTATTTACCTTTTAGAAAGATTTTTCATAGCAAAGGAAAGAAAACATCCCCTGTTGAGTTTCCTTACAGGCGCGCAATATAACCCTTCACTAGTTGACAGCACCGCTAAACCTGAACTTAGTAATTAACTGGTAACGACCTCGAGGGCAGTTTTCCTGAGAGAAGTACTGAAAGCTCGACGGCAGTTTTGTTTGAGTAAAAACTGGACAAACTTTTTGGAAAACGGGAAAGTGGAGGACGTTGAGGAAACTCAGGCTTTCACAGCCGACACTGCCCTTTCACATATAACCTTTTGTTGTTGCTCTGTTACTTCCGGTCGTCTGAACTCTCTGAAGCCCTGACTGTAGGAAATCACCATTCCGATGGCAGGGCGCAAACAAGCTGAAAAAGTTGCCCCGCGCCTATGAGGCATTGTACTGGCCATATCGCATTCAATAAGCAAGTATGATTCTGAATCACTCAACTCAATCATTCTCAATCACTCAACTCGAATCATCAATCTTATAATTTTCATCCGAAGTGGCTCTTTTCGACAACTTGGCCGATTTGAGCCATTTCACGGCATTTTTGCTGCATCTCCGGCCGGGTGTGTCGTTAGGTCCGCCCGGCGAGAAAACTCGTCCAAAGGGACCCTCTTTGCCGGTTTTTTCGCCAAGTGTGTCGTTAGGTCCGCTCGTAGCCCCGCCCCGCGCCGCACCGCCACCAGCAGGAAAACTCGTCCGATGGCACAGAAAACTCGTCCAGGTGCCGTTCCGGCCAGGGAGTGGAGTCGTAGGTTCGCGAATGCGCTATTCAATTAAGCCCGCTCTGCCGCGCGCCTCGAAAGAGCCCCTGCAGGCGCGCGAAATCGGCTGCGGAGAAAATCGTCCAACGCCGTTCCGCCGAGTGTGTTCATCGCAGGTCTGGCTTGTCCAGGATAGCTAGCCGCCGAATTTCAGACGCTTCAGCGCGCCGTCGGCCGCGCGCGAAATCGCCCCGCGGAAAATTCGTCGCAGCGGCGATCGGCTTATCTGGTCCTCGCCAGTGGCCAAAAAGCCACTTGTCGCGCTGTCGGACCGCCCGAGTGGGTTAAAGTCGGGGTCCCGCTGAACGTGGGAACACGTTCGCACGAACGAGCTCCGCCTGCCGTGGATTTGCCGAGTCCACGTCGGAGTCCCGCGATTTTTGTCAAAAGAAAGTGGATTTTTCTTTCGAAATTTTTCGATTTTTACAAAATATTATTTCAATTCAAAAATTGGGAAAACTCCGCCCCTTTTTCCCCCAGCTAAGCCTAAGCCTAACATAAGCTAGCCTAAGCGAAGTGTGTCATTAGGTCAGGATTTCAAAATTATAAAAGGCGCGATTTTTTCAACAGATTTTCGAATTTTTTCCCAAAGCTCACGCCCCCCGCCCATCTCGTTGGGAGAACCGCCCTTTTCGTGATGAAGCAACTTCCGCGCACTTCTAGGAAGTAGACTGGACGACCAGCACTACTGGTAGGCAGGAGAGTCGTTATCGAATAAACAGACCAAATCGCTCCAGCCCAACTAAGACGGCATGCACGCACCAACCAAGCTCAAATCAGAAGAACTTTCATTCTGTCAATCACTGGATCATTGGAACGGTGCCGGGTGAGGAATAAAAAATTTTGAGCCGTTCCAGATACGCGATTTTGCCAAAACTCTGGAGAAGCTCTAATGGTCTTTTATCCTTTTTACCACAGCTAAAACTGACCCAAAATTGCGAAAAAATAATAATAAATAAAAATAAAAATATTCCGATTAATCCTCCAGATTTTGTATTCCCTAACAGGGGCAACCAGAAATTTTTGCCTCGATCCAAAAGTGAAGCTATCTCATATGACTGGCAGTTTTTGAGCTCAGAGCCATCAGCTGTCCAGAAAAGACTTCGGCAGCCATCTGTAACTCTGCATTGGTCAACAACTTTTTACTTTCTGCAGTGCAACTTCTTTGTTGCACTGCTCACGTTCATTGCAGATTCTTTCGCATCAGCAGAAAGTAGAAACTGCAAAAATATTGATTCTAATAGAGGAGAAAGGATGGGTGCTACGTGAAGACTTAATAAGGGATCCTCACAAAAAATTTAATCTTGTAAAACTTTACATTCAAGTAGAGTGCTCCAAATGACACGCAATAAAGATTTCAGTCTAAGTGCACCTGTTTTGTTGGAAAAGGAAGCAGATAAGAATAAAGACACTGATCGTTCAGAGAAAGTTTGGCTCCGTTCGACTTGGGAGGGGTATTTTGCACATTTTGCTAATTTACAGGTATTGCGTTGGTGGGACCTTTTAACTCTTGTCAAGTGCAAACAGAGATCCATTTGTTGCATAGCTTCACAGGAATTTACAGGTATCTACAGGGAGCATCGACTGTGATCGACAGGGATCAGCATGCCCCCACCAAGCCGAACCGCGCTCAAAGTTTCACTAACCTAAGTGGCTCAAAGTTTCACTAACCTAAGTGTACCGCTGAATAATATAGAATTCTATAATAGAAATCTCCCCGCTAACTATGGAGATCAGAGGGATGAAACGAATACCTATCACCTCTCGTAAGTCGGTAAGTAAGTCTATCACCAAAAGAACCTTCAAACAACTTAGCTTGTCCTGTGGCAAAGGCATCCTAGCCAAAACACACGAGAGCTAGAACGAGAGAATTCATACTCCCTCAGCAGTCACTACGAGTTTTTCTCGCCGTTTTGTCCTCACAGGTCGATAGGATTCGTGATTGTTTGTCCATGGGCCCAGTGAATCATTGGAATAGTAGTCCATTGGATAATGCGAGGAAGGAAATGAGATCTACAAATCAATACAGATGGAGAAACAAAATCCCAAATAGAGCTGAACTAAAAATAAGTCCTCAAAGTAAACCAGATAAACAAACCTCATCTAGTGCCACCGCAAGCTCAAACGGAGATAAGAGCGGTTTCTTGAATTCCACACCCCAGTCTATGGATAACCGTGGACATGCGATTTGAACCCAACTGCAGTAAATAAGATTTTAGAGGAAACGTCGAGACTTCTATAAACTAAGCCGTACCAATCAACTTCTTCGAATTTAGCTAATTTATCGGGAAAAATCTCGGACAGAAGTACTCGTACGAACCGTTTGTTCTTGCTGATCAATTTCCGTTCCAATTCCTGAAAGAAGCTAGCCGTTTGGAAACCAGTAATAAGACAAAACATGCCAAAACTAAATGTCCAGGTGTGTAGGTAGCTTCACTTAGCGAAGAAATAATTTTTTTCCGAAAACACTTCTTCAATATTTTACTCAAAATGTTTCCGTGCAACTGCAACGGATTAAACCATGAAATTGACGTGTCAAGTATAAGTTCAGGATAAAACAATGTTTGGGCGAGCAAACCACTCATAGAGACACTTCTCGCAAATAAAAACTTATCGAGAGTTAGCTTGTTGACGCTGTTCGGCTTGGGAGGTACATTTTGCATTTTCACTAATTCCTATAGCTAGTTCATGGTAGCAGGCAACACTTCGGTAAGGCCTGCAACTCCTGTGAAGTGCGGCATGGTACACGTGAGCCTTTTTAGTGACAGTAGTACTTCACGGTCATCAAAAGGTGACCTGTAGAGGCCTCGCTGAGTACCTTTTTGTGCCCTCTCTGAGCCATACTGCGCCATTTTCGACTACCTGACACAGCTGTACACTGAAGCAAAGATGACCAACAGACCTCTACAATTTTAATATTCCCCTGGCGTCCTAACGTTCCTTGAATGAGACCAAATGTTGTACATGTACGAGCTATGTCAACAGCACCTACATAAAACAGCATATTTTAAAAAAATGAAAATTTAGTACGGCCGAAATGTATAAAATACCGACCTTTACGATTTTTCATCAACACATTGAAGTCATAATATTCGCGAGTAAATTTCCTCGAATACGGATCATACTGGAAAGTCTTCAACGTGGGATTATGAATCATCAAAGATTCTAAGTGGAATCTTCCATCGCCGAGATATCTGAAGAGAGAAACGATCGAAAACTCTACAAAGGGGCGTGTGAGGAGCCATGGCTTTGGCGCGGCGCCAATTTGTACCGGTTGTTGAAGCGAGCAAGCGACAGGACTGTAACAAATGGTTCGTATCAGTCCTTTTCCGAAGTTTACCCACTTCAACAAGTGGTAGGGAAAGAGTTGGCATCGCTCAAAAGCATACCGCCTGAGAGACTATGTTCATAAGTTAAAAAAGTTAAAACCGTTCTCCGTTCATGAGAATTATAATAGTGTTTAACTTAAGCGAGAAAAAACATACATGGCAGCATCGCAGCTGTCATCGAGTCGTGGAGAGGTGCACCCCAGAACTTCTCCTGGACTCAATGGCTTACACTGTGGAAGAATGATTTCAATGCCGCTATCCTTCAGAGAATTGCGCACAGCCTGAAGCCATCTGACTGTCATCCATATTCATTGGAACAACTGAAAATAAAGTAAGACAAACATACCTGTAAGGAGGTAACAAACTGAATCGTACTAACAAGGGCAATTTTACAAGGAGCCGTGAAATTAGCCCGGATGCAGTCCACAAAATGACTTATATTGATGTTAATATTGACGAATATATAAAGCATTGCTATTCCTTCAGTGTTCTGAATTGGCACAAGGCAACTATGCCCATAGTGAACCAGAAGGTCGCAGCCTGAAAACGTGGTATACTTGAGGATGGGGATTCTTACCTTCAGCTTTGTGAGGAAAATTGCGCGCACTTTGGCCTTGGCATAGGGGGGAGGAGGTGGCATTTTGCACTCTCGCTACTTTCCATCAACGTTCACTGCTCTCCGAGAGTTGACAAGTAGTTTCTTCAAACTTGACTGGTACTACCCGATGGCTTCACAACATCTCACAGGCCTTGATTTGCTCATTCGACACGTAAAAGGGAAGTAACGGAAGCGCAAAATACCGCACCCTCTCCCTAAGCTAAACTACAAGACCGTTCAGTGCAAATGTTTCGCTTCTGTTCAGAATTCAACCAAAGTCGAACTTCACTCGAAAAACATGACATTAACTTAAGGACATCGTTCAGGACTGCCGTGTGGGCGGAGCTAGGTAACTATATCATTGGAGCGCAAGTAGACCGCGCCAATGACGTCGTATTCTTGGCCCCGCCAATCTTGAACGATGTCTCCGAACGCTGTTCAAACCTAACGGGCGTCAAGAAGTGACATTACCTAGAGATTTCGCAGTGTAGTCATCCACACAACAAGCACCATAGGTAACATCTCCCATGATTACGGTTGCACAGCCAGTGTATTTTTCAAGAATATCGGCAATCAGTCCAGAGTACATTATGAGACCTTCAGGAAACTGAAGAGCAACTGAAACTCGACAATAAACTGATTTATGCGGAAAAATAGATTTGCAGCAGACCTTGCTTGCTGCCAGTTGAACGAATTTTCCAAATGGTTTTCGGTATTTCGAACGTGTAGTTGGCTGGGAGCTGGAACAATACAGCCGTTGGATAGAATAGACATGGTTAAAAAATCTGCTTACAATTTTCATATCGCTCTTGAGCAGCTCATCTGCAGCGATCTCCTCCAACTGAGCAGCAAGGCGTGCTGGGCCAGCAACGCTCATTTCCTTGATATTGTTTGAAGCCTCTCACCACATAAAATAGTTTCAAAATCAATAAGTGGAAACCACATTGGTAATCCAGAAAGTAAGCTCCGCAGAGAACTGATGTAAATTCGCAAAAAAACATGAGATTTTCAACACACTTATACTACAGTACGATGAAAAATTGTACGTTCCCGATTAGGAAGTGAAGAAAGATTGTGTAGACCACTACCTCAAAGCTGATTGAAAGGGAGCAATGCTTGAAAGGGATGAACCAGGGAGGGAATGAAAACATAGACGTTGGATGCAGGAGGTTTCCCGCAACTGCATGTAACACACTGGTGGTTTACGCCTAATTCGACGCGCTTTCTTATTCAGCTGCCTCTTATTGCTTAATTTCCGAGTTTTATTGTTTTCAAAGGTTCTATTCAATTCCCGTCAAAAGCGCCTCATTTTGCGTATTTGTCCATCATCTTGATTATTATTATTTAAGGAACTGATTTCCGCCGCTTATATACAAGTTTCCGCTTCCAACTATTACACAGATTCTTTGTACTGCATCCTTCTATGCCAGAAGCTTTCTTGAACATTTTCACATTTAGTGCTGGAATATTGGTTTATCTGAACATCCGATTATCGCTATTTCGTGTAGCTTGTTAGGACTCTAATAACCATTCCCTTATTTCCTTAGATCAACTAGTTTAACTAGTAAATCGTAATTTGAGAGCTCCCCTCTCTGTTCGCAGTTGTCACCTTTCCATTTTCATAGATCTTTTTATATATTTATCAAATTATTACAATTGGTCTGGTTCTCTGAGAGGTGATAGAATGACGGGCATCCGCGTGCAAGTCGCGCGGCGCCAACACCGTTTTTTTTCTTTTCTTTTCTTTCGACAAGCAAGACTGAATCGTATCCTTCGTCATCTTTCACCAGTTGTTGTCACTTACAAGCAACTGCTCGAACGGGTTTGACAGCTCGCCAAGCGCAGCCGCCTAGACGGCACCCCATCATCCGTAGCGAACCAGACTGTATTTCGACGTTCAAGCAAACTCAGAAACTACATTTACACCAACTCATCTACAGTTTCTTATGCATGAATACTACACAATAAGTGACTGTTCGTAAATTATTCATGCGAGCAACTGTCTGCCCTAAATCTTCTGTGAGCCTTGAAACGAGATGGTAGGACATGTTGTTTTGTTCATACGGCACATTTCAGAGAAGATGATTGTTTGAAACACTAACGGTTATATAATGGAGCCACAGCGGCACGAATTGGCAGGACGTTTACAGTCCCGTGACGTCTGATTCCCCTCGAGAAGAATTCCATTTCTTGCACATAAAGACTCATTTTTTACCGAGCAATTTTAATGTTTTCACTCGTACCTGTCGTGAACAGATTGGCGTTACATTAACTGGAAGAAGACTTTCGTCGTGGCTATTCTGCTTGCGGTAAACCTACTAAACTATATGGATCGTTTCACGATAGCCGGATTACTTGGTAGAATCCAGGACTACTTCTTTTTGAACGATAAGGAATCAGGGATGCTACAAGTATGCGTATCAGTGCTTCTATAGAATCGCTAGTGCTCAGTATCTTATATTTTTCAGACAATTTTCATCGTTTTCTTCATGTTATTTGCTCCGATATGTGGATATTTTGGTGATCGATATAATCGAAAGTTTATTATCATAGCTGGTCTTATAGTGTGGATAAGCGGCGTAATGCTGTCCACATTTGTGGGACGTGAGGTTCGTTTTGTTCAAGAATCACTGCATTATTCAGATAAAAGGGCACGTGCTGTCGCTGGGGAAAGCGCTTTAAAATACGACCCCTCAGAATTTCCTACTCTGAAACGACTCCACCCTCCATCCTCCCTCTACTTTCCTGAATTATCCCAACTTCCTACCACTTCTCTGGATTTTTCCCAAACATTTTTCCACTTCCCCCCCCCCCCCACCAAAAAAAAAGAAAACGAGGAAGCCCGGACAACGCTCTAGAAACAGCAAAAACCGGAAGAAGTCAACTACCCAGAACATTTTCTCGAAAGCAAATCCTCCCAGCAGCCAAGTACAGCCCCCTTCGCTCGGAATTTTCAACCCTGCTCTGAATCGACCTGCCCTGGTTGAGACGTTTATTCTACGCCGATTGTAAGACCGGAGTCACTCGGGCGAGCCCGGTCTTCACCTTGATGGGCTCCTTCTCCTAACAGGATGGTGGCAGAATGAAGAACCAATGAGGAAAGCCCAAGGTAACTCCGCCCAAAGAACTAGCGCATAGTAGTATGTCATTCAATATGGAAATTCTCTGTAAATGACTTCATCATAGGTGGTGATACTTGTTTTCGTTTTTTTTATTTCGGCTGAGCACAGTTTTGAGGATCCATAATCAAGCACTAGTTCCACCAAACTCTTTTATCTCATTATTCTCTTGAAATATTTTTTAGCACTTTTATGTGTTTTTATTTCTACGAGGAGTTGTTGGTATTGGTGAAGCGACATATTCAACCGTAGCTCCTACGATAATCGGTGATATCTTTTATGGTCCAATGCGAAGTATTGCGCTGATGGTGTTTTATTTTGCTATACCTGTCGGAAGGTAAAGCTATTGCTGTTTGTATAGAGCGATAAGTTTCTGCTGAAAGAATTGTCTTTTCAGCGGTCTAGGATTCATTGGTGGCTCATCTATCGCTCTGTGGACTGGCAGCTGGCAATGGGGTGTAAGGTAAAGAATTTGATTCATTGTTAGAAATCTAGTTGCATGTTGTCTTTCGATTCTTGTTCCTGAAGATGTGACCCATTGGAGTTTCCCAGTGTATAAGAAAGATTCTGGAAAGGATTTGGACGTAGAATAACACCGAAAAAAAGCTAACAAGTATGATTCATTGGCTCATGGAAGCAGATAGTTAGCTGATGAGCTTCTCGGATTAGTTCAGTTTCAGAATGATAACCGAAATGTCACTAGTTGTTACTAAATCTCGTTTCACTGCTTTTTATCGATTTGTCTTGGAATTCAGTCTTCTTGCACTTTTCTATTACTACTTTATTTGAATGTCGATCGATTCGTTGCTGGAAGATCTCGAAAAAGTTCAGGTTCACCCCTATAATCGGTGTGTGCTTCCTTATTCTGATTATTTTTGGACTCGAGGAGCCAATGAGAGGACAGGCTGAGCACGCTCAGATTGAGCCGAGCACGCTAAAGCAGGATCTAAAGTACCTACTCAGTGTGTGAGTGTCGACCTTTTGACACTGAATTTTTCCTCGATCCGAATTGTTTCTTTGCAGGCGAACATATATTCTGACCACTTTTGGATTCACAAGCGTAGTGTTTTGTGTTGGAGCTGCAAGCTGGTGGACACCACAGTTGATGACTTTTGCATACGGTATTCAACACGGTATAGATGACGTTCCAAAGGATGAAGTGGCACAGTCAGTCGTTATTAGTCCAGTTGAGCTCATGCTGGAGAGTACCACTAATTTTGCAGCCTTTCTGTGATATTCGGCGTGATCACATGTTGTGCTGGGATCGTCGGTATCATTGCTGGCTCTACAATAGCTCAGGTTTGGCTTTATGTCTCATTATTTCGTTTGAGAAATATTGAAAAAGTATTTTTTGTGAGTTCACACTTTGTTGACAATATTGATGGTCAGAGCATGTCATGCTGCCTGAGAAACTTTTGTGAAGTCTCCCTCTCCAATTTTCTTGTCTGATACGGATCCCATCCTAGTGACTTTTCCCATTTTTCTTGCGACTTTCTACCACTTTTCCAGGACTTCTTCACTTTCTCCATAAGAAACTTTCGTCAAGCGGGCAGGGGGGAGTATATACAGGATGCAATGGCAGTTTCAGGAAGCCAAGAATGACTACCCTCCCCCAGCGACCAAATACGACCCCCTCCCGCTCTGGGGGTTTCCCCCAGCATACGACGAGTGGTGATGATTTGATTGCTTGGTTCAGAGCGTATCTAGGGCAACAAGCGTCTCATTCTGCAATTTTGCGTCAGCATTGGGCTACCAAGCGCATCGGCTAATGCCGTTTGGACTCCAGCACAGCGTTCGGCAGCCAGCTCTTTGTATTGCCTAGGGTTACCAAATCTGCTAAACCAACTTGTAAACTTGTTGATGTAAAGGGGTAGTTTAAGGATCCTGAATATACGAAAATGATGACAATTTCACTCTTGGCAGCCGCTGCGCTAATGGGATGACAGCGTACGAGCCTACCTCGCTCGCGCTAGGGCTTGGAGCCCGATGGAAGGTGAAATCGTAGTGTCATCCCTTGGCGCCAGCGCCAAGAATGAGTGTCATAATTGTAATCAGGATGGTAAATAACCCTTGTGTACATATTTTCAGCGGGTTTGGCGACTTAGGTAATTTAAAAATGAGCTCGGTGCCGAAGTTGCTGGAGTCCAAACGGCATTAGCCCCAGACATCTCATAAGAGGGAGAGTGTCGGGTTGAAAAATTAGAATGCGAGGGGCTCACCCACTTTGGAAAATTTGTTCCCATCTCCAAAAATGATGCGCAGTTACAGGCTGGCACCGCTTGCACTCATATATACGTATCGAATAGATTGCTCGTTTTTTGTACGACTTCTTGTGATTCTTACTTAATTTTGAGAGTTGTTTAATATCTAGGCATGGCGAGAAGGAAACTGGTGTTTTCGACCTTCCCACCGTGCTGATGCATTTGTCTGTGCAGCTGGATCCTTCCTCGCAGCTCCATTACTATTTATTGCTCTGATTGTGGCGAGCCAATCTCTCAATTATGCTTGGGTTTGTTCTTTTTAGCATATACTGTTAACGTTGGAGTAATTTCTTTCCCATAGCCGAGCAACTGAAACTTTCTCTGCGCTGCTGTAGTTGGGAGAGGTTACGCAGCAGCGCGACGTACATTCGCTCCTCTGCGCCCTCTCTCTCGAGGAAAGTGATTTTTTCCGTCCTCAAGCTCAGTCCTGAGACCACTGAAGGAACGACGCGTACTATTACCCATCCTTTTATTATGGCGCGCAATCGCCCGAAACGCCGAGTTGCCCAAAACCCGCGTAACGCCGATTTTCCGGAATTGCAAGATAGTACTTATACTTTGCTCGCCAAGCTAATCGCCGAGTGTCCCTAATGGCCGAACCTCCACAGTCGCAAAGTATGAACGCGGCTTAGACAGCAGGAAAGCGGCCTTGTCCGCGGTGAGAAAGAGCGGACACTGCCGCGGCGCTGACTGCTCCCCCTTCCTCAACTGCGGCAGCGCTTGTCTTTTTTTTCAATAACTTCTCAGGGTTTCAGGTACTACTATTTTTGGGAGTTACTTGCATGTGCCTGAACTGGGCTCTAAATATGGATATGCTTATGGTAAGTTCCCGACTTTGGATTCGCTGGTGCTGTGATAAATTTTTTTCCTTCTACTAGAGTTTCCTATGTCCCTCTTTTTCCTTCATTTTGTTATTTTCAAGCATGTGATCGTCACTCATCGCCGCGCTTCTGCCACGGCAATGCAGACGTTGATAGGGCATTTATTTGGAGATGCGTCATCGCCGTACATCGTCGGTTTCATTTCGGATGCTGTACGAGGTCTGCTTCCCAAATTTTCTAGCAAATATGATTAAATGAATGAAATTTTTCAAGATGGCCAAACTTCTTCGCTAGCCAAGTACCATGCCTTGCAATATGCAATGTTCTTTCCGAATGCTGTCTTGATTTTGAGTATTGGGTGTTATCTATGGGCTACTTTTTACATTGTTGATGACCATCATCGGGCTAAAGTAGAGATGCACGGTGAATTTTGTCTTTTTTAACCTTTTTGTTCCAACTCGTCGCTAAGTTCAACGGAGTCTTTTTCATCTGTAACAGTGTTTTCTTATTAAGCGATGTTTGTTTTCAGTGGACGATGAATGGGCTAGTGATGTTGAGACGTTAGTAACTAATGTCCAACCTATCCAAGGCGAAGGAATAAGCAACTTATTATACGAGTGATAAGATGCTTTATCACTGAAACGTTTGCAATTAACATATTCGTATGATTCCTGTGAGTATACGCTTTGAATGTTTTTCTTGTATAGGAATCTTACAGCTTCGTGTT